CCCATGATCACTTTCATTCACATGTGCTTTCGACCCATTCATGTACTCCGCTTTTACTCGCATGTCACACTTCTAAGCTCACAAATCTCGACCAATACAAACTGAATCAATTATCCAATGGTGTCAATCAGTTACTCTTTCTCCTCTTAACCGGTTTAATCGACCTCGTTACATCTCAATTCATATCCGAAAACAACTAAAGTAAAAGGTATGTTTTTGGCATATGCATGAATAGTGATAGTTTGGTTGTGTGGGCAATGAAAGGGAAAGGAAATTGTACGCAAGAGAAGGCTTCCCCCCCTCTCTTTTCCTCTCGCATGGAGAGAGAAGAGGGGAGAAAAAGAAAAGCTTAGGCATAGACGTCATGGGGGGGACTAAATATGTAAAGATACTCCCAAATCTTTATGGGGATCCAACCCACCAAAAAAATGATATCACGTGGTCCTTCAAATTATGTGTATAATATATAGTTTTAAGTGTATAATGTATTCATGTAATGAATATAATAATATATGCTCTATTATTGTTCCTTCCCTCCCTTACTATCATATTATATTTGGAATTTAAGCTACCCAATATCGAATGTGACGACACATCCTTATCTTGCGTTCGAGTTCTCAAATGCGTTGAATGATATGTACTACCTATTCTAGCTTCCATCAACTTTTCTCATCTCCCTAACTTTTTGTCAATTATATCAACGTTTCCGAACACAAGAACCTCCTATGCATTCTCTCGTTCTTTGTAATTGATCAGTGTATGATACTCTGGATTCAAAGTTTAAATTCTTTACTTGATGGTGCGTTTCAGATCTTATCAAAGTGGAAGCCCTTCTAGTAGGATGTGATTCGGGGGCGAGCCAAAGTGGAAGTTGGTGGACATGTAACGCTCGAATAAATAAAGGGTATGTGAATTAACTGAGACTAACTAAGTGATTAAACGCTTATTAATTATTTTATTACCGTAGATGGGATGAACGGTTGAGATTTAATTTTGGGCATTGGTCGTAATAATTTTGGTATTGCACCACGCACGAGGAAAGCAAGCCTTCCAATTATTGGACATACCATAAAATATATATGAGAATATATCATATATACTGAATAATACGTCACTTTTTTTATTTTCTTTTCCAAAACTTAATATAACATATATTATAATAATAACAATAAAAATATTTTAATTTTTAACTTTTTATAAACATTTCAAAACTACCGTTGAAATAGAAATCTATTAAAATATTTTACAAAAATCGTGAGATTTCATGTCAGCAGGAGATGTGGAAGTCTCTCTCTACTAGATATGTTTTTAAAAACTGTGATGTTGATAGCGATACATAATGTGACAAAGCGGACGGACAATATTTGCTAACAATAGGTTTGAATTGTTACAAATGGTATTAGAAGAGCAAGATACGAGCGGGTGTGTCAGTAAGAATGCTAGCCCTAATGGGAGTGGATTGTGAGATCCCACATCGGTTAGAGAGGAAAATAAAACATTCCTTATAAAGCCTAAAGTCATGAAAATCTCTCCCTAATAGACGCGTTTTAAAAACCGTGAGACTAATGATAGTATGTAACAAACAAAACAAAACATTTCTTATAAGGCCTAAAGGTGTGAAACCTCTCTCTAATAGACGGGTTTTAAAACCCGTGAGATTAACGACGATACGTAACGGACACAAGCGGACAATATCAGTACTTTTAGTTCGTGGAAACATCTCTAGTAAACACGTTTTAAAAACTATGAGACTAACGATGATAAGTAACGGACAAAAACATACAATATCTACTAGCGATAGTTTTAGGTCACTCCCACAACGACATTAAATCATTTTAATGTCAACGTTCTCGAATCCCTTCGGTGGACAACGAAAGAAAAGAGAGGACTATTGAACTTTATAGTTATGCTTTTATTGAGTTGTTCCATTCCAACGGCTTTTTCGGCACACATTCAATTTTTATACTATTCATTTCCTCGATTATGAAATTATTCCACTTTCTATAAATTACATAAAAATAAATTATATAGATTAAATTGAGAAAATAAAAGAAAAAAATAAAATTTATATTATCAAATATTATTAATTCAAACATATTAGTTTAAATTAAAACATATTAATTAAATTTTATAAAGCATTTGGTGGAAGAAGGAAAGTGATGACAGGAAGTTGGGTTACTTTTGGTGGGCACTGTCTGTACAATGGGGGGCTTCAAAATCAGAGATTTATGAAGACAAAAAACACATCAACCATATAGTTTCAAGCCAAAATGGACCCTCTTATTCCCCTCCCTACTTTCTTCTATTTTCAACGCAGAAAACGCTCGTTCGTCCATCCAGATCTTACGAGATTAGTTGAGAAGACATAAGGGTCTCGTGTTTTGATATAATTGAGATAACCCAGTTGGTAGATTTGGACTAGACTTTTGTGAGATCCCATATCGGTTGGAGATGGGAACGAAACATTCCTTATAAGGGTATGAAAACCTCTCTCTAGACGAGTTTTAAAAGGGTGAGGCTAACGACAATATGTAATGGGTCAAAACGGTCAATATATGTTATTAGTGAACTTAGATCATTACAAATGGTATCAGAACGAGACACCAAACGGTGTGCCAGCAAGGGGGTGGATTGTGAGATCTCACATTAAGTAGAGAAGGAAACGAAGCATTCCATATAAGGGCATAGAAACTTCTCCATAATAGATGCATTTTTAAACTGTGAGGTTGACGACTATACGTACGAGCCAAAGTGGACAGTGTCTACTAGTGGGAGAGGTAGACTATTACAACTAATGACTCGAATAGAATAAGAAGAAGAAATCGAGAGATGTGATAGAGATATTTTGAGTGTAGAAGATGGAAGATTTGGAGAGATGATGACGAGATACGACGGTTGAATTTGAAAGAAGGACGGTGCCTAAAGTACTTTCCAATTTTGGGTTTGATAGGACATATCAAAAGAAAGGGAGAAGGCTAATTTTTCTTTTTTTTTACAAAACAAAAAAAAAAAAAAAAAAAAAAAAAAATT